TGGATAATGAGCAAAGAGAACCAATCATAACTTAACACAGTAAAAAGCTTAAAACTATTTCTTATATTTGGGGCAATTTGCTGAGGTTGTCCCCTGCTATTTTTTGCTGGCATCACAGGTGAGCCTACAAGGCAGGTCCTACTCTGTTGTGGCACCACAGCTGTGTAACTGCCTGCCTAACCCTTCCTGTTAGCATTCAACCCCTAAATAAAAGCTCTCTCTCTAAATACAATGAATAGGATCTGACTGGCCTTCTCCTTTGACTTCCACCTCTCCTGGATATGTACACCAACAGAATTTATTTTATGGATTGCCTAGAAATGTTCTATATAGCTTCAATCCAGCAAACTCTAAGACACGGTTGAATTAGCCACAGGTTATTAAATGATTGATTGAGTTTATACAGCTGAATGATTGATTGAGTTTAGACAACGTGCCAGGCTGCAAAGCAAGGTTTACAGGATTTTCAAACCTCATGGTTGGGTTTGCACAACATGCAAGTCTAAAACCAAATGATGGCTTAGCATGATATGTGAACCATGTCAGTGACTGTCTTGACCTACCCAGCTAAGCTCTGAGCTTCAAGTGTCAGAAGATGACAAAATCACATCGAGGAAGATGTGACCAGGAAGATCGAAAGGAAAGGCAAGCATTGGATAAAGTGAAGCCACTTCCTCCAACTCAGGGTGGGAGAATTTCAACTCCCATCAGTCTCAAACAGTGTCTCCTGATGAAAATTATCCAACTCAGCTGTTCAGTTACAAAGTTGAAGAAGCCTGGGGCAACTTCTCAACTGGTGAGGTCTGGATTGAGGTTGCAATTGTTCAGGACCTCGGACAGAGCATGAGTTTCCCTCGTAACAAGGGGAACTAGGGGGTGAATTAAAGTTGCCTTCTTTTTTTCCCACTAAACATATTTTTATCTTGTTTTATCTCATTTTTAGCTTTGTTCCTAACCACTTTGGACATCTCAGTCACAAAACAGACAGGAAGGTGTTTAAATATTTTATAAGCTTCTGAACCATTGCTAGTCACGGTAGCTCATTATTTACATACACACAGACATATCTATCAAAAGTGTGTGTGTGTTTGTGTGTGTGTGCGCGCAATAGCATTTTGATGCTTGTTTTCACTGGGAGCGGCCTGAGGCTACCTCAAAAGAGAGACTATAACTCCCCACTCTAAGTAAATACATGAATATTAACTAAATATGCATTGTTAAAATCTGCCTTTTTATGCTTTATGTCAGGTAGAAAATATTGTTATGAGTGCAGTCCTGCACATATTAACTCCAACTGTGGAACTGATTTTAACTCGAATAAGTGTTGATTGTACATATGAAGAGATATCAATTAATCTGAGTACTAGAATGATCAAAGGAAAGCGTAAACGAAGTATTAAGTAGATAATATAGGCTTCAAAGTGAAATGTTCTTCACTGGATTTATGACTTTTTATATATATATAATTGGACATTGACCATTTTGGGTAGGAAATTGATATTGTTAAATGTTTTTTGAAAATATGATCCTGTGCATTGCACCTCTGAAGTAAATCCCTGAAGCTCAATGGGATTTCTTCTTGGACCTGAATGCATAGGATTGTAGAATAAACGGAATTAAAAAAAAAAAGAATGGAGGATTATCCTGTTAATAAATAGCCAAGTGATACTATTAATGAAATTGTGAAGATATTCTACAAACACTGCAGATATCCCAAATTTTGTGCCAAAATGTCTTCTGTTTCGAAGGATACCCAGTAGCTATTCCTAATTCAAGAATATCTCCAGATGATGACAATGATTTATCTGATAGAGGTGAATATGTGTAGCTCAGGGTTGAACTGTGGAGTCCTTGGAGTTCTCTGAGCTTGGTTCTTTTCTTGCAAATGTTTCATTCCCCAGCTAGGTAACATCTTCAGTGCTAAAATGGGATAGAGAGCAAACCCCATCCCATTTTAGCACTGAAGATGT